ATGTGTTCAGTCAAAGTAATTAATAATTAATACTCATTAATAATCAAAGGTTAGAAAAGGAGCGTAGGGTCTAACACCAAATAAGGGCATGTTCTTAGTTACAGGTTTTGTTGACATATAAAGATCGCAATTCTCAAACTAATCGACTTTCTTGATTCTATTTACATGTATTTTTTCTTTTCAAAATAAAGTCTTACAGTTACTTGTGGGTGTGGTCTGAAGTGAAGTTTGCATCTCATGTAGAGAATACTCCAAAGTGATCTCTGGTAAAACAAAACTAGTTTTTCAGTAAAGATTCGTCTACTTGACACTGTTAGGTGACTTTTGAAAGGAGAGATAAGGCTGATGTCTCCTCTTTTGGAAATATTGAGGCCGAAGTAAAATTCAGCAGCAACCTCAGAGCAGTTTGGAGCAGCCGACAGAGCATCTTATGTACTAGCTTTGATATGAGAAGCATATTTATTTACAAATGAATTCTGCAGTCTTTCTACACTCCTGACCCCCATGGAGTTGAAATGAATCTATGAAAATGCTTATGAGAAATACAATTTAAGGCAACTAACCTTTTCATCTTCTCCTCTGTCAACTGAATGGATATTGTTCAATGCAACCGTCAAAGACATGTCCTGTAACATCAGACAAAATGAAAGGAAAAATCAAATATGAAATAATCACTATCTACACCAACATCAGCTCAGGTATGTTACATCATTAGTAACACAACTTCTACTTGTAAACAAGGGAAAGGTTTCTGGCAAAAAAGCCATCAAAAGATTTGAAATGCTTTGTTAGAAACCACTTCCATTTTAATTGGGGCTTAAAATTAAGACTGCTGCCTTACCATCCCCTCTATTAGCCCATCAAACATTTCATCTCCAAGGATACATTTCCTGGAAGTACTATGTACCGTGGAAATTTTTGGGGATTTACACTGTACTTTTTGCAAATTTGGGGATTGTTCTTGACATACAATATTAGGCTCTTGCAGAACAGAACAATGCAAAAAAAAATGGCAAACTACCCACTTTTAGTAATAATAATTATTATTAACAATAATAATAATAATAATAATAATTAACAGCTTTGCTGTGTCTCAGAGGAACCAGGAGAAAGAGAAGAGTAGCCAATATATCTGACACTGACATTACATCGGAAAGTGCGCAAGCCAGAATTTAAGAAGTCAATTTTTTATTACGTAGCTTAGTTTACTGAATTTTTCTCTTTTTTTTAGAGAACTGCTTTTTGTGAAATATTTTAAAGGAAAAATTTATTATTACTATTAAGGACATCGATAATGTATCGCGTTAAATAATAATGTATTGGCAATTTATTTGCTGTTCTGCTGAATGAAGCTGAAGCAAAATAATGCAGACATAAGATGAATTCTGCTGCTCTGTAGAACAGTTGTTAATATCAAAGAGATTCAAGACTTTTCTCTTAGCTAGAGACTTTTTATTAAACTTGTTTTAATATTTATACCATCATAATAACAATAAAAATAATAATTTAGCAATGGATATTCCACTGGGTGGCAAATAGTAGTGAATGAGCCAATTTATTTTTGAGATACAAAATGACCAACTTTTATTGCAGCAAAAAGCCTGAGCTGACATGTAACTGTCTTTATTACATGACTCAGGAAGTCAGAGGGCCACTAACTAAAATCAACCAATCAAAATGCTCTATTGCCGGTCAATATTCTCTCAGTATTGGACCGGGCAGTGTCCTGAATGGTCCTGAATGATACCGCACTTGTGTCCCTTTGAACTTCAGTCGTGTAATAAATCTCTTATTAACCAAGCTTGCTTGGCACCATATTGGAAGAATATCGGCCATCGGTCTTTTTTGTATGGACCTCGCTGTGCTCGGTCCGTACTGTCAAGACCTCAGGCCAATATTCTCCAAGTACGGCCCTCGCGCTTGGTTAATAAGATATATGTATCACCTATAAAAAAAACAAAAACAAAAAAACACACCCACCTCCCCCCCCCCAAAAAAATCACAAATGTGTGATGACAAAGTTGCATCCAATTTCAAAAATATAACCTCTACTGCCTTATTAACAGAAATACTCTGCTCCAGGTAAGAGTTGGTTCCAGAAAAATAAAAAATGCTTGAATCCAAAATTAACTCCCACATGATTGATAGTTACTCACATAAGTATTCCCAGCTGCAGTCAAACCTGACAGGTGACAGAGAATCACAAGTCTGGAAAACAAGTGAAAAACAAATAAATTCTAATGTTACCATCAGAAAAATCCAGAAAATGGCTACTCATTTCGCAAAAACACAAAACACTGGGCTTGCAAATATTGCCCACCTGAAATTTGTGAGGTACATTCTCCCAATACCTCTGTGTTTACTGACTTCAACAACTACATCATCAATAACCATCTCCACTCTCTCTGCTTCACCTGCCAAAGTAAATTCATCCAGTAATTGCACCTCAGCAATTCTTATGTAAAATGACTACTATTAAACAAGAACCATGTAGGTGGCAGCATGGCCTCGTTGCTACTTGGTGCTAGAATTCTAATTAGATGGTTGTTAGGAGTCTTCATGCCTGTTACACTACTACTCATGGAATTTATGTTCTGCTGTCCCATGTGAAATTCACTGCCTTTGCCCTGTAAATGGTCAACTGGCCTGCCTTCTACCATTTAGAATTTTTAACCAATAAGTTTATTTCAAAATTTGATCAGTTGCTATTCACTGGCCTTGAAAAGCCCCATTTTGGTATGAGTCAATCAAGTTTTTGTACCTCTTAGGAAAAAAGGTTTATAGGTAAGCAGAGCATACATAGATGTAAATATCATTGAGGTAGAACTTATGCCAGAGAAAAGAATCTCTTTGATCACTTAACTTTCAACTGATTCTCTACAGGTGCCTAGAGATTCTTGAGAGATAAACAAATCAAGTGATTTTTGGTGTCAAAAGTTTGTTATTATTGGTCATCTTCAGTTGGTGAAGTGTTCATTTTAAAATAAAAACATCTAGGTGAGAAATATAATAGGAATGAAAATAATTTGTTGTGTTTTAGTTGTGACAAAAAGAGCACTTATTTAAAATATAATGTACAGATAGGACCTCATGCTACTTTATAATCTAAAGACAGTAGCTCACAGGTATTGCACTGCTGAGTTTCATCATACATTTACCTGGGAAATCAACCAAAGAATCTCCAAATGCCACAGGAATCTCAAATCCAGGTTTCCTTTTGCAAAGAGAATACAGCTCATGGTCCACACACCATCTTGGTATTGGCTTAAAAAAAAAATCAGAAAATTTGTTTTAAATAATTATATCAATAGTAAAACCCACAATGTTGGTAGTATTATTATCATGTTTTTGCTACTACACTCCTTTTCTGTGGAACCTGTACTAAGTGGTCAACCTGTGTTAAGCAGGTCACACAGTCATTCCCCATTCATTTGGTAACTGCTATAGGTTGACTACAGTCATAGTCTGTAGTGCAGGTTTGACTGTACTAGGTACAGTAACCAGGGCTCAACACTAACTTTTCAACTAGCCAAGTGGCTGGTGACAACTTACATGTTACAAAAATTTCAGTTTGTTTACTAGCCAAACTGGCTAGTAGTGGAAATCGAAAACCACTAGCCAAAACTGAATTTCTACTAGTCAGTGGCTAGTTGGCTATTGTGATTGTTAAGCCCTGGTGACTGTGTGCAACTCAATATCAGCCAATACCCGAGATGCCTTCAGGGTCAGCTCAAAGAATATTTCACCACGAACATTATCTTTGGCTGAACCTCTTCCCAGAGGGAACCACCGAGCTGTTGTTTCTTCCGACAGAATGGAGACTGGAATTTGAATTCTACCCATGAAGTCATCACGATTGAGAGTATCATAGTCCCACACATCAATCTGAACATAGTGTTGAAGGCAGCAATTCATGGCATTCTCAACTACAAGAAAATTGCAATTTTTAAACAACATCAACAAAGACAGATTGTCGGTAAAGCTAATCCATTTTCATTGCCCAGCTGTTAACTCATTCCCCAGATCTCCTTTATTCAGTAATTCTTCTAACTGCCTGGCATACAGAACAGAACAGAACAGATTTAGTTGGCACTATCTCAAGAGATTACAGCAAAGATTACTATAGATCACAAAAGTAAAAATAAACAAGAAACAATAAATTACATATTAAATAATCAAAAATAAACTCTGCGCAGTGACCAAAGCAGCTTAAGCTTTCGAGTTGGTCACTGCCATGTGTAACTAACTGGGGTACTTTACATTTAGATAAAATTACAAGTAATGAGTTGGGGACAAAGTAAAATTATAACTGCATACAATTCTTATGATATTAGCTTGGAGTAGGGGTTTGAGACAGGGTGCCTGGAGGGTCACGCTTTTACTTTCTCTGAGAAAATATCTTCAAATAATCTTAAATTACTTTCTTACTGGCTTAGTTACCTGGATATGAGCTTCAAATTAAGTGATTTTCAAAAATTGTGGAAAGAAGAACTACTCAAGGATGTGAGGAGAGAAATATTACGAGTGATTCAACCACTGAAGGCAGACCTGGCAGCCATGAACAAAAAGATGAACGACCTTGAAACCTCTCAAAAATTCCTTGCTGAGAAGTATGACACACTTAGATGGTATTCAGGAGCAAAAGAAACATAACAAGGACTCAAACGATCAAATAGATGGCATAGACACAGAAATTGGATATGCGAGAAATGACATCTATGACATTCAGCTCCACCTCAATGTGAACGAGCAATATGGCCGACGTGACACCTTGTGGTATTTTCTTAGACTTCTCCAAAGCCTTCAATACCATTAACCATAGAATCTTGCTAGATAAGATGTTTAAGTATGGAGTGCGTGGAACCCCATTGAGATGGTTCTCAAGTTATCTAACTGGCCATCATCAATTTGTGAAAATTGGTGATGTAGAGTCTTCTCCTATACTTATTATTGTGGAGTCCTTCAAGGCTCAACCCTTGGTCCCCTGCTGTTTTTACTGTATGTAAATGATCTTCCAAAATCATCATGTAAACTTTTATTTCGAATCTTTGCTGATGACACCAACATTTTTTTTTCATCTAAAAATATCGCAAGTTTAGAATCAACTGTGAACGAAGAACTTATGAATGTTATAAAATACTCATGTAATGTGAATAGATTATCCATTAATTTTAAAAAAACTAACTACATGATTATTGCATCACCTAAGAAAAAATTATCTCTTAATTTAACAGCTTGTAATATATAACAAAAACATACTATCAAGTACTTAATAGGTATATTCATTGATGGGAACCTAAAATGAGATGCCCAAATACAGCATGTTAACAATCGAATAGCAAAAAATTTGGGTATCCTTAATAAGCTTCGCTACTATGTGTCTGTTCCTTCTCTTAGACAACTCTATTACAACCTCGTCTATCCTTACATTTCTTATGGTCTGGCAAGCTGGGGATCAGCATGCCAAACCCAACTTCAAACTGTAAGGAAAATTCAGAATAAATGTATTCGATCCATATTTTTTGCTTCCCAAAGAGAAAATGCTTCCATCTACTACAAAATGCTTGAACTGCATAATCTTGAAAACATATTCAACATTAAGATAGCATCCCTAGTTTATAAACTCAAATACCTCCCGTGAAATACTCCTGTAGCTCTTCATGAATTAATTGCACCCTCAATTGGAGTACATAACTATAACACTAGATATGTCTCAAAAGATAACTTATACAGGCCGGTGTCCAGAACTAACTACGGCCTCTCCAGATTTACATGGCCTCTAGAGCTTGGGAAAAAGTACCTTACAGTCTAAAAATTTTCTGCAGTATACCGGTAAGCGCTACCTTCTTGCAATCCAAATGTGATTTTTTTTTTGTCTCTCCTTCATATCATTTTTGCTATGATTATTTATATTACTGTATTTTTATATATATTCATGCAGTTAGGTATATAATTGTACAATCTATTGAGTATCAATAATTTATTGTTTAATGTATTACTTGTTATTTTCCTTTTTCCCTCTTTGTAAATCTTTAATATAGTATGCTAGCTTTTAATAAATATTTTTCTCGTGAAATCATGTACGTGGTAGTGACCATCTCAACAGTATTTGCTACTATGGTCACTATGCACTTCTCCTTTTCCTACAATATGTAAAACTCTGCTCTTTCTATTTTCTCCTTTTATTTTATCTCACTTGTAGTTAATGATATAAAACATAGCGCAAAATAAAGATGATGATGATGATGATGATGGAGAATTTGATATTGGATCATTTTCCGTGTATATGTATAATCCCCTTATTGATATTTTTCTTAATTTTAACACTAATATGGTCTGCCTGATATTGTACTGACACTGTAAGGAGAAATTCTGTCTTGATCACTAGTGGAAGTTTAAGGGTTAAAGAAAACAATAGCTAGCTGACCATAGCCTATCCATTTTCATCACAAAGCTACACAACTACACAGCTTGTACAGAACAAATTAGCACTGTACAGCTAATCATGGTCAGTGCTTAATGCTTCGCTCTGACGAAGGGCTAACACCCAAAATGTCAGCATTTAAACTCTTTACAGTCGCCCATTTACACGATCAACTCAGCTGATAAAACCAAATTAGCTTTAAAACTTAGCCTGTCAGGTATGAAATACAAACAAACCAGCACTTTCCCAGTGCAACTTACTTTATAGTGTTCTCTCATGGTTCTATACATTTAGAGGAAGGGTCTTACTTGGTTCACTCTGCATAAGTTGAGGTACTCCACTGACTTCAAACTGTAACGTCTCATGCCATTCAGGATCAATGGTATTATATTGCACAGCTGTACGCTGCTCCTGGTTACCAACACTCAGTACACAATATGGATCAGACTTTCCTGTAGGATCCATAACAGGAAGATTTCGCCCTTGAACAACTGCGGAGCAAAACATAAAATGCTTCACAACTTCCTTTGTGACTTAAGATTTGGAGATTGAAGATATACATGTAAACATACAGTGTAGTTGTCGTTGTGGGAGTGAATGAATAATATAAAAGTTAATAATCAAAATAGATAATTCTAGCTGAATTTTCAGGTGAGTTTTATGCATTCTTAACTTTGGCACCCATGAAAAGGTTAATTATGCCGCAACAAAAGGTAATTGTGACCATATACAGGGGCCAGAGTCTCAATTCTTAAAGCCCTGGTAACTTAATGTGCATTATTTCAAAGTAAAAACTTAAAGAACTCTAAGCAGATTCTAACACCAGTCCATTTTGTTACTTTAACTTGTAGTTTGTGTCATAGCTTTCAAAAGTTTTGAATCCCTATCTTGAATGAAACCAGAACAGCTTTATAGGCCTGTTAAGTTACTGTGGCCTTCAAGAAACAGGCCTCAGGTCTGAAAAATGGTGTTGTGGTCTGAAATAGGGTCACAATTTTGAGAACTAATTGGCAGCCCCCTACCCAGAATTTTGAGGAATGTTTTTGAGGTCAAAAGTTTTACAGGATGATCCTATTCAATGAAATGAAGTTAAAAGTGGAATGGTGGATGGCAGAATATCCTACAACACGGGATGCCTTGTTATATGAAATAAAAGTCTCACAAAAATGAAATTGTATTGAAGAAAATAATTTATAAGTAACAAGCAAAATTAAAAGCATTAAGTTAATCATTATTGGAGTCTAGAGAAGAAACCAACAGAGGAACAATGAGGTTCCTGAGCTAGCCCCCACAAAAGTATCATTATTATTACTATTGTTATGATAATAATTATTATTGTTATTGTTAACATGATCATTTGTTACCATGCAATTATTGGCTAAGTGTCAATTAATCACTATATACTTGAGTCATCTTTCTTTTATGGAGCAGAATACTCATAAAAATGTGGTATGCCAAGGTTTTCCTTTTTTGCATGTGAGACAAATCTTCTGCAACACTTATACCTTCTAGCATCATTCTACAACCTCTAGGTCTTTTCAATGCGATAAAAACTGTGCTATATCGGTAGTCAATAAGCAGTCTTAAACTGCCTGTTTTTGTACCTTATGCTACATAAGAATACCCAAATGTGTCAATACAAGTATCGATAAACACAAAGAAACGCTTCAGAAGCCAAAATTATTAGCCTAAGGTTAAATTTGCTTTCGGTTTTTAACATCATTTAGAATTTGAACCCATTGAATGAAATTAAGTTGCACCTCTTCAGGAACAATAAATCGGATCTGTAAGCATATTGTTATTAAATTCCTACATATTTGTAGGGCTGCAAAAGTGCTACTGAAGGAACAATAACATGACATCATTTGAGTGGCTTCAGTTAAATCTGTGAACGTGAATGAAAAGTAATATATTTTTAGAAGGAAAAGAATATGGTTGGGCTTAACGCTATATATATCACGCCATTGATTATTGCACCTATACAAAGTTCGCAGGTATGACTAGTATTTCCGGAAAAAGCTTCAAATAGTAAAATATGACTAGCAAAACTGGGTCGCATGTACCAAGTTGACTCAATTGCAGATCTTTCCCGGAAAACATGTTCCAATTAAATGGCAAAGACAAACGCGCATCATTTAACATCAGTCACGCTCTACATTGTATATCTACGGTAAATATCCTGAAAGGAATAGTTTTGAAGTGAACTAAAGAACACACCTGTAATTGTTAGTAAGGCCATGCCAACTCCTCTCTTTCGCTGTTCGTCTAACAGCCCAGACAAATTCCGAGAAGCGCACACCGAGAATTGCGCGCCATCGACACCGTCACTGCTACCATTGCTCGGTGTTCCGCTTAGAGCACCACTTGGGACGTAAAACATGGTTACGAATTTACGCAACAACGGCTGAAAATAAGGCTAACAACACATTCAAGGCTGGTATCATTGTTTGAGGCATTTCTCACGGAACTTCAAGGAAAGAACATTTAATGTTTTGGTCATGACGTATCGTGACGGAACCGAGCCAACAGTACGTGACCTCAGTTTGTTTCTCAGTGGTTACTACCATTGGCGTATTGGTTCCAGTCTTTCCTTTCGAACTGCGAGGCAAGATGGCGAACGGTTCTGGAGATTTCCCGGATTGCCCACCGTCGTATTCCTCCTTGGAAAAGATCTACGGGGCATCTACAGATAGAGCATCGTTGAGGTAAAAGATCTTAGTTACCTTTTCTCGCTGCTTGGGGGTGGTTTTTCGTTTTGGGGCAAAAATCTTGCGTCATTTCCTTGATAAGCTTTTTTTTTTCAACCTCCAGTACGGGAATAAGATCGCCCGGCAGTTAATTTTCAAGATCGTTCCTTTGTATAGATGATTGTTATGTTTTGCAAGAATATATCGGAGGATAAATTTTATCGTGCAAATGTGGGAAAACATGATGACTATTGAATTTAATGTCAGGCTGGTACATGGTACATGTAACTTACCCGACTGGTCGGTTCGTGAATGTAATATCACGTGATGTTCTTCACCCTTCAAGGCTTGTTATGTTTGGTGTGAAACTTGGAAAGATTTCCGCACAGCCTCATACCATACTTATTACACATAAAGTTCTTGGAGGAAGAAAACAATAGCGAAACAATAGATATTACGTTTGGGACCATGGCTTTAATTCAGAATAGTATCGGATTATGAATGGAAATCTTTCCTATAGCTGAATGGATTTTAGCATTTTAACAAGGGAAAAATCATTAAGGGTTTAAGGTTATAAGATAGTTCAGAACTAAGATTTTTTAACCTTCCCCATCCCCTAGATTTTACAACCTACAACATGTTCACAGTATGCAGATTGGTCCTTCATCATTCTTTATAGAGTATTTTTAGCAGAAAATTACATAGTTTTTCACCATTATTCATTAAGAGATTGTAGCATCACTACAAATGTAATATTTGTTTCTTGAAAAATAAAGTTTTTTAGTATGGTATGGTAGTTTAACAAAAAGGTTTGAAAATCATTTATTGCTGAAACAGTGAAAGAAATTTAAACTACATGTACACTTAAGCCCATATGGTTCATCTATGTAAAGTAGGGGTACCTACACAAAGGAAATTTATTCAAGAGCAGAACTTAAACAATAGATTCCGACATGTGAAAATTCAGTCGATAAAATTTGGGCTACAGATTAACTAAGATATCTCAACTTGTTGAGGTACATGAAACTATTATAATGTCAGTTAAATGTCAAATCTAATTGTTGATCTTACCATAAATATCAACAAAACTGGAACAAAACCTACACAAACTAAACTCTCTTGATCCTGCCCCAACAGTTTTGCAGCTGAATTTCAGCAAATGTAGTGTGTTCAAACATGAAACAGGACTGTAGCAGGAGTTCTCAGTATATCCATTCCTCTTGGGTCTTAACTAGAACAGTAAACCTCTGCACTTCTGCCATAAATAAAAAATAATAATAATAATAATAATAATTTATCAATTTATAGTGCGCTTTTTACATACAATGATCAAAAGCGCATTACACTTTTGATTAAATTAAAAATTAACTTAAACAATATAATATGTCAAACTGAGAATAGAACTGAATATAAAATTGCTCACCGATAAAAAGTTTTAAAAAGATAAGTCTTAATATGCGCCTTAAAACTGTTCACATTAGTAATCACACAAAGTTCTTTTGGAAGAGAGTTCCAGAGCCTTGGCGCTGCGACCATAAAAGCTCGATCACCTAACGTCTTGGATCGAGTAACTGGCAGAGAAAGTAAAATACTATCGGAAGATCTAAGGTTATATAAGGACAAAAATAAATCTGGCATAGTATATTATTGCTAAGTTTCCTGCATTATCAAGCTGTGAAAATTTGAGGCACCTATTATACATTCGTCAACCCTGTCTATTGTGTTTACCGTCTTGATCCCTTTTATCAGATATGAGAAAATCAAGGAGGCATTTCATAGCAAGTTTGGCTGTTCTCCAGAATTCTATGCAAGAGCTCCTGGAAGAGTAAAAATTATTGGTATGTGGTACTATATTATGTTTGACTGTGTCATACATTTATGTTGTAATTTAAAATCAATTCCAGGTCAAGATAGATGCATTTGCAAGCTATTCCAATTTCCTATTCCTCTAGATACATTACCCTAAACCTTAAACATGGAAAACATAAATCAAAGGAGTTTTTAATGAATTCATTTTAACCTAAAATCATTTTTAACTAAAACATTTACACACTGTGCTGTGTGATGATTCATTTTGCTGGCAGCACTTTTTGATGAATTTCAAGGTTGTGCTCTAAGAAAAATTGAAGGGAGCCCAGTGCTCTGAAACTGTGAAATCCAAGGTGCCCAGCATATGCTTTTTATTAAAGAACTAAGATTCCTGAGTTGTGCAAGAGCAAAAGTAAGGTGCCAGGGGCCACCAGGCACTGTTATACCACAGCCCTGAATTTATACTAGTGACAAATATCCTGTGTGCCCATTGTGCAGCAACGAGTTTTCCTATATCATAATTTCACATTTGACCAGACTCATTTATTTATAATTAGAATATTATGATGCTATGTGGCTGGTGGTTTTGTATGCACTTTAAGGGTTGATTGGTAGAACTGTTCACTGTAGTTTTTCCCACTTTTGCTCATCCTAAACTTCTCACTACTTGGCCCCTCAATTGTTTCAAGGTTGACACAAAACCACGGGCTATGCAGGTTCCAATCTGTGATAACATATTTTACAGGAGAACACATAGACTACTGTGGTTATGGTGTGTTACCAATGGCTGTGGAACAAGATATTGTGATAGCAGTGGCAACTAATGACCAGAAAATGCTTAACATATCTAACACATTTGAAGACTTTCAGTAAGTAATAAAGAAGAATCTGACAGAGATAGTCTACAGAGGATAGAGAAATCTCCAAAGAGTACAGGGAGGAGGGAGCAAAAAAGGGGGCACTTCCATCCAGGGGTGGTATACTTATATATTTCTTGCAATATAAATAGATCAGGTCTGTAAGCAAGTAAAAGAATAGACATACTTATCAGCAAGCTGGATGTGATTTCAAACTTATTGTGTTACTAATTTGCAAATTTAGAAATATTTGGAAGAAAGAATTGAGCCTTAACAAATAAATCAGCTCCATCAAAGTACTCTCATTTTGAAAATAATATCTTAAAAAGATACTAAGATAACCTAATATAAGAGTATTTTTTATTTAACCCTATTCAACCAACGTCAGTATGCATATTCTCCATACTGTTCTATATTCATTTCCTAAGGTTTTGACAAGGAGAATTTGTTTAACAATCAATAGTTTCTGTAACAGCTGGTGATCATTTGTTTTACTCTCTTAACCTTAATATTTGATTCAGGGGTGATATTGTAAGGAGAAATTAGATGCTAGTCACTAAAAGGGGTCAAAGGGTTGACAGCTTAACCCCAACAACCACAGCCATGTTTGATTTACTGTGTCCTAATCCTCCCCACGTGGGATATATCAGCAAAATAAAAATGTAATATCAGGGCTCAACACTAACTTTTCAACTTACTAGCTAAGTGGCTAGTGACAACTTAGATGTTACAACAATTTCAGTTTGTTTACTAGCCAAACTGGTTAGTAGAAATCGAAAACCACTGGCCAAAACTGAATTTCTATTAGTCTGTGGCTAGTTTGCTACCATTAGTGTCGAGTCCAGAATATATGCACATTTACTTTTTTCTTGTTTCACCTTTTTTTTATACCAGGGATTTCAGTGTGAGCTGTGAAGATTATAAGATTGATGGAAAGGAATGGTACCATTACTTTCTCTGTGGCTATAAGGTATCGATTAAAGCATTTTGATCAAATAATTATTTTGATAAACTGACTATACCCTCAAAAATAAAGGCTGATAGTTTCGAAAGAAACTGTTGGGGCTGCGTCGGTGGGAGTAACGAAATAATTTGGATATATCAACAAATTTGAAATGGTAAATTGGCCACCGTAACGATTACAAAAGCTGACGTTTCGAGTGTTAGCCCTTTGTCGGAGCGAAGGGCTAACGCTCGAAACGTCAGCTTTTGTAATTGTTATGGTGGCCAATTTACCATTTCAACTTTGTTGATATATCCAAATTATGCCCTCAAAAAGTCTACTCATGCAATTAACTACGATAGGTGAAATTAATAGTCATTATTATGACTCTTACTCATTACAAACATATCAGCCATCTTATGACTGTTACCTTTCATTGAATTTTTAAGGGTTTAGTGGATCATATGAAGATTGAATCTCCAATTGGAATGAACCTCATTATAGATGGAACTGTTCCAAAGGTTTGAAATGTCAATTGGAAATTATGTACTTTTTTGTAACTTAAGTGTATGAAAAATTAATCTTTTGTTGTGATTTGTAACCTCAATTTTTTTTAAATACGAAATGTCCAACTTTATAGTCTTTTATAAGCCCACTAGCTTTATTTTCTCTTTTTCCATCAGAGTGCAGGGCTGTCAAGTTCGTCAGCTTTGGTTTGTTGCTCAGGACTGGCGACACTTCATGCCAATGGGCTCAAGCTTAGTAAGGTGTGTTCTATAAACCAGTTAAACCAGAATTTTTATGGTGAACTGACTCTTATCTGAAATAATTTGGATGTTCATCATTTCAGTTAAAGCTGCTAGTACACATTTTAGTCTTATCCCATTAGAATGAAACTCTAATAATTGTATCTTGAAGCCCTTTTTGTCCAAAGATCAGTATGAATTGCATCTTTGAATAAAATCTTGCTTTCTGATTGGTTAATAAAGCGAGGTATTCTGGCAGCGTGGAGTTGCGAGTTGAAAATGAGGCTAAGTAATGTTGTTTCACATCTATGTATACATAACAACTATAAGTAATGCTGTTTTCTTTCTTTTTTTTCTCATTTTTACTCAGTTATACAATTTAAGGAAAATTTATTACTTGACTTGTGAATTCCACGTTAAATTGCACTTGAAAACCAATTTTGCACTCATCGCTTTGTGATTTGTGTGATATCGGTTTTTGCATGCAATTTAATGTGGAATTCCCTCATCAAGTAATTAATTAATTTTCCTATAAAATATTCTCTGTACACTTCCTAAGGTCCTGACAGCAGAATTTTTTTGATAATCAATAGCATCTTTAGTTGGTGATCATTTCATTTCTTCTTGTGACCGTAATAAAGTTTGATCCAGGGCTGACTTTGTAAGGTGAAATCAGATGCTACATGTGGTCACTCTTAGGGGTTAAAAAGTTAAGGGTTTCAGACACAAAAACAAACTTAATTGTGATCATTCACCTTTAATTGAGTCAACTTGAAGGAAAATATTTATAATTTCATACAGATTCACTGTCTATTTTAAATTCCATTTTCTCTTCACTTGTTTTTTACCTTAGTAATTTTGCTGTATAATCCAAACCCTGTGAAAAGCTCATGCTTTTAATTTTTGTTTTTGTTGAACAGCATGAACTGGCGGAGATATGTACAAAATGCGAGCGCTACATTGGAACTGAAGGAGGAGGGTATGAATGCTTTGAGAGATTCTAGCACATGAAGCATTACAAAAATTTTTAACACATTTTTTTGTGATGTATACAATGATAGACAATGATAATATTGGTGTGAGTGAAGTGAAGGTTAATCATTAGTGTGCTAAATTACAAAAAAGGTCCCAGATCTGGCTAGTTTTCTTTGGTGGGACATTTCACTGTCTTCTTCTCTGTCTGTCTCTTAAGGATTTCAGTATCAATTGGCAACCGAAAATTGTTGGCAAAACTCTAGAGGGTAATCTGTGGTAGTCTATCTTTCAGAGGGAGTGATGATAACCCTAGAAGCCTGTGGGACTGACGTCATTTTTTTTTTTAAACAATTTTTCAAGGAAGTGGAGGCTGAAGCCAGGGCAAGGCAAGCATGAGCAGATTGCTAAGGGCGAGTCATGAATTATGCCCACTCCTCAATTGCACTTTGTCCACTTGCTTATGCTCACCTGACAAAATTTAAAACGGACAAGATGACACCTGTTTAACAGGTGTGACTTGTACTTGCTTTGTGATTCTGAAACTGGAATTTGCTCCTGCAGCCATTTGAGGCAGTCTCAATCCCAAACTTTGTGGAAATTTACCCACTAGATGTTGGATATTTTCGTGACTTCTGGAGTCATCTCTAGCACTGACAGTAACCCTTTTTTAACAAAGATTACACTGTTACATTACTTACACCATTAATGTCAGATAGAGATTACAATCATTATACCAACACTAGTAACAGAATTAATGTCGCTAAATTATGTCCTGCTGGTACCTTGAATTCACAGTTAAACCAAATTTAAAGCTCCTTTACCTATTTTGAACGGTAATTTATCTTCAACACTTGACAACTTCTTGATATTATCATCAGATCAATGAAATGCTTTACACTAACTGATGTGTGCTTTGCAGAATGGACCAATCTATTTCCTTTTTGGCTGAGCCAGGAACAGTAAGCAAATCATTTCCTCATTAGACGGAAATTGTGAAGAATCTGATTGAAAGCTGTATGTGTCGAAAAACAAACTATGTTGCCGTCTTTTGCTGCGTCTAATATTTGCTAGAAAATGATCATTTGAAAACGTATTTCTTTTTCTTTTTATTTGCTGGTTTTGGACTTAAATTTGAAAATACAACCTAATTATATAAATTACATCCACTTGCCTAGTGCCTTTCTTTGCGTTTTTTCAAATGCATCAGAGAAAAAAGAAAGCTTTTGTTTCCCATGATGATCAAACTACTTGGGCTGTGAATTTCTAGTCGAAAGTAGATGCTGTTTGCATATATCAGGGGGCTAACTTATGACACAAAGCGTAATAGACAAGCATGCCATTGGGATAACGTCACTACAGAAAATGCAAAAGGGGAAACAACGAATTAAAAATTGGAATTATCATGATGGTAGATGGCAAAAGGATTGTACATGAACTGAGAAATAACGTAGTGGCTAGATCTATTACCGAGTAAAATGTAAAGTTTATATATCTTTCAAACCTTCTTTGGACTTGCAAACAATACTAGCCAGCAAAACAGTTTTTTTGCCTCATTTTTTTTCTCATTTTTGACTCTTGCAGGCAAAGCACATCGAGTTTGATCCAATAAGAGCTTATGATGTCACCCTTCCAGATGGCATTGTTTTCGTGATTGCGAATAGCTTGGTATGTAACCAATAATTCTTTTTAAGGAATTAAAAATCCAGAAAATCAGAAATGCGACCAGCGTTGTTCTTAGCTAACAACAAGAATGAATGACATCACACTTGAAATAAAAGATTGACATCACCGAATGAGGTGATAAGTATTCTCACAAGGCCCCTGTACACGCTGAAGAACAGATGAGTACAATGGTGTACTGTTAGCGAAAACTGCAGAAATGCATGTGCTGGCAGGAGAGTGACTTGTGATTGACTGGCATCCGATGCAGCGAGGAGGTGGGGGGAGGGGAAGTAGCTGTACTCTGAGTCACTTACTGCTACTAAAACTGTCCAACAGGATGAGCCACGCGTTCAAGATGTTTAGACATGTTCTTTTTTTCTTGTCTTTACAGGTGGAGATGAAGAAATCTGCGACAGCTGGTACGCATTTCAATGCAAGAGTGGTCGAGTGTCGTCTAGCAGCAAAGGTATCATTAGTAAACGCAGTTCTGCATATCAGAAATTAAAAAAAGCGCCTTCCAAGCCTGACACATATCGTTTTTTTCTGCTTGGAGGAATAATGTACCAGTAGCCCGCTGAGGGCTGAGACACTCGCACGTGGACGACCTCGAAATCAATGACGAGTCACTTTTCCTCTCGCACGTGACTCAGTCTTCGCCTTCCTTTCTCGTACGTTATTTGTTTTTCGCACTCTTGTCGCGCTCTTATCACACTTGCCTCTGTTAACCTGGAAAACCCAAAAATGAACTCTGTTCAACAGGCTACTGAAAACAGAGAGATGCACAAGGAAAAGCACGGGTCAAATGGTTACAGTGCTGGATCCATAATTTA